TAGAACATATTAAACTTCTTTGTAAGAATGAAAATGATATGATACATGGTATTATAAATTCAGCTGAATTAGATTTTATTAGGAAACGTCGAATGTTAAATAAATTGGAAAGAAGTTAATATCTTGACACAACTTACTACCTACTTGTGTTACTTTTTACTTCTTGCCAACATTGTTTTATTTACTCATAACATTGTCACCAAGAATTTATACGACTGACTAAGATTGCAGAGACTAAGGGAGAGGATATTATTGAAAGTGATCCCTCTGGATTACCTTCAAATGTTAGGATAGAGGATCTCACATCACAGATTGGTGTTGCACAAGGACAAGCTATAACTTTATTCCAAAATCATAGAGAATTGCCAAAACTTGCAGTAGTGTTAATGTTTGAGATGTTTATAATAATTTATCATTTATATATTGGTCTATTTGAATTGATCACTCGTCCTAATAATATAATTTTTGTTTCACCATGGCTTCCACCACATGATACGAAAGTTCTTGATTTTAAGAACAGTATGGAGCGACACATGTGTTTATCTTTTATGAGAGAGAACGTTCGGAAGGTAATAAATTGCAAGCGCATTTGGATGAAATGTCATCTTTAGAACATATTAAACTTCTTTCTAACAATGACAATGATATGATACGTGGTGTTATAGATTCAGCCGAGTTACATTTTATAAAGAAATGTCAAATGTAAATAAATTGGAAAGAAATTAATATCTTCAAACAATTTACTTTTACTACCTACTTGTGTTACTTTTTACTACCTAATGTTTCATTTACTTTAATATTCAACTAATGACAGTTGATTTACAGCATAGTTGAAATTGGACAAATAGTATATAATGCATATGAATAGAATCTTTCTGCGAAATACTTACTGTGAATTGTAATCTTATTAAAAGTGACTCTCAATTAACATTATTTTTTTGATATTTCCACAGATTCTTACAAGTCAAGCCAGACATACAATCTTCTAACATCATACAAGTTAGCTCTAACGCAGCAGATTTGTTGCAATTTGTAACAATCAATTTCTTCTGATTGAACATTCCACAGTGCCTCCAATCCTCTCTCAGTAATTGTTTCACAGCCTGAGATGTCAAATTACTCCGGAAGCTCTGCTGATATTTTTTCAAAAACCTAGTCGTCGATACTTTTGTCATACTTAATGCTATGCCACTTGAAATTTATGAGATAACGCAGGTTACTCAGACTTTCGTAATGCACATCAATGACATCGATTGCTTGGAAAATATAGTATGAATAATTTGCATTTGGTAAGTCGGAAGTACCAGCCTTATTCGAATCTATCCAAAAGTTGAAATCTTTGAACCTCACTTTACTTCTGCGATGTGCAATACAGTTACATACCGGCCCCGGGAAACGTACCGATCCCAGGAAGCATATCGACTGTGGTAACTTACCGCTTCCTGGAGACTTATTGGCCCAGGTAACTTATCGACTCTGGCAACTTACCGACCTCAAGATATTTAACTTACCCACTATTGATCAGTTGTTACTATGTTATCCGTTCTTACCGACAAAGAATATCGCATTGAAGTTCTAACACTGAACGGCTGTGTCGCTCTCTCATATTGACATTTCTAGAGATTCTTCATTCGTTACGGACGCTGTGTGTAACAGTGTAATTGCCTTGCGAAAATCGTGAAAAGTACAAAACTGACTATAAATTAGACACTTGTAATACGGCAGTATATAACAGAAGATAACCTATTAAGAGACTGAACAATTTTGTTAACCTAACTAAAATTTTTTTCTACGAGACGGAGACGAATAAATGAGCATCGTAAACCATATATTATGGACATTGCGGAAAACTCATAATTAAAAGGTGCAATAAGAGATACTTGAGAAGAATTTTATCCTATTACTGCAAAATCTGAAACTACTCATAACAATGTCATCAAGAATTGATACGATTGAGTAAGGTAACAGAGACTAAGGTAGAGGATATTCTTGAAAGTGAAATTCACTTCTCTGTGGGTTACCTGCAAATGTTAGGATAGAGGAGCTCACATCACAGATTGCTGTTGCATAAGAGCAAGCTATAACTTTATTCCAAAATCATAGAGAATTGCCAAAACTTGCAGTAGTGTTAATGTTTGAGATGTTTATAATAATTTATCATTTATATATTGGTCCATTTGAATTGATCTGTCATCCTAATAATATAATTTTGCTTTCATTCATAGATTCCACCACATGACAGGACAGTTCTTGATCTTGAGAAGGCTATTTTGTGGAGGCTATCGTGTGTATTTTGAAGAGAAAACATCTGGAAGTAAGTTGGAAACACATTTGGGAGAAATATCATGTTTGTTTCGAACATATTAAACTTATTACAACAATTCTACTAACAATTACTAACAATTCTAAACGATTCTAAACGAGAACATTCTAATATTGTAAACGTTTTATATATATATTGATGTTTGTGCAGTCATATATATAACTTATTTCCTTGTAAAACTAAAATTCTTCAAAATGAAATGCACCAAGATCGACATTCCTATCTAGTCGCTCAATGTTGCATAAATTAAGCCCACCTTAGACACGTACCGACTACATATTATGCATAACACGATTTATTTTAATTACTTTTAAATGTTGGAATCGTCTTGCATACATTTTGGATTATCCTAGGCGGAAGAAATCTCTAAAAAACTTTTTAAAGATGTCTGAAAGATATAGAAAAAAAATAAACGTCTTTTCTGGACATCGTTTAGAAATTTATTCTGTTTCAAGGGCATTATGTTTCAGTAAATATGTGAACGAACCGTGATTGGCTGTCAAACATCGGGTGTTTCGATACATCGAGATTTGCAATTATCGCAAACGTCAGTTATGCCGGGGCGATCGAGAACGGCGTTCGAAAGCTCGTCTTGTGTTTCACGCGATTTTAGCCGTTCTGAAAATGTACTTTCTACAAATAATTAGATACTTCATAAACATCAAAACTGATAAATGATATTCCGACAAGTAACATTATATTTCGTCGATGTCGTTGAATTTGTCAGTGATACATAAATAAGCGTACATGTTAAATGTCCTAAAAGCGTACACGACAGTGGAAACATGCTTCTAGCGTACCACTCAATACAATTTCACCATATCCTACGCTGGAGAAAAAGACTAGGATTTAGTGACTCGGTATCCGAAACGATTTCGAAGCAACGCGGGTACAAATAAGTTACGCGAGAATATAATATGGTTGTATCTGATTGACTAGGTGAAATTTATGCGACAAACTCGAAATTGGAGTGAATAGTGAGTTGTCGATTGAAAAATTCCTAATAAGAACGAATGTCCAATCAGAAGCGTCGAATTAAATCACAGTGTGTAATGGATAGAAGATTATTTTTCAAACAATTGGCGATTATCGAATTAGCAGTGACGAACGCATACAAGAGCGAATGAACATTTTGCAACGCAAAATTGCGCTAGTACTCGAAAGTGTAGTAACTGAATTTGACAAATTGCGAATAATATTAGGTACACTGTTGAATTTCAGAAAAGCAAAAGCAAATTGATAATAATTGACAGCGAAACGTTGATGACTTATCAAGGCAGGAATGTAATATTTTTCTCGAGTTTGATAGCATTAAAACGAAATTCCCTAGATGGTGATTGAATATGGGTTGATTTTGGAAACATCAATAAGTTCATATCAACCTTTTGTTTTCTAATCAACTGTGATTTGTCAATTTCTTACGTATTAAATTCTTATTGTAGATTCGTTTTAACATGAACTATAAAGATCTGTTCGTATTTGTGAATAAGTTGAAATGAGAAAACATATACTTGTCTCGCTTCAACTTATTGCACTACTTCAGCGGTGAAGCGAAAACGAACAGACCTGCAATTCCGACATACATTGTATTATAGAACAAGCCTAAATTATTTTACATGCTCTCCCGGTTTTACAGTTATCTCTTGTCAGTGACGTTGTGTGTTTGATTTTATATTATGTTGAATACTCGTATTTTTTTTCTCGCCAATTTCATATGAAATAATGATGAAGCACTTTTTAATCAGTGATCTTTAGTTGTTTTAGAATCCAAAGAAGTAAGAAAAAATTATTGCAAATGTGGATGAAGTTGGAAGACCTAAATATATAGTTCTGTTTAAAACATAAACAAGAATGGATCTATTGTATACCGTTAACAGAAGGACTTCCTCAAAGTTCTTTTCCAATCAAGAATGGTATTTTCTAAAATGGTTTTTTTCCTAGAAATATAATAAGAATAACATTTAGTTGAAATATTTAATATGTCTTAATATTTTTCAGTTTATATGTATGTGATGGACAGTCTTTATGTTCTTTATCCAGTCGAAACATAGCAGCGTTTACTACGATGACAGAATTGGATGACAATAGTGGCAAGACACGAGGTTGCCATGTTTATGTAACAGACTTGAATATGCCATGGCATGCTCATAAGTAAGTGTTAATTAAAAGAAAAAAAATATGTTCTTTTTTAAGATTAAATGAAATATTGCCGTTCAATATGTTCTTTATCAAATCTTTTATTCGAATATAAAAAAAAAGATCTAATAGTAAAATTCAGTTATTAACGCAAATTTCTTTATATCTGCAGAATTCTTTCAAATAGACACAATATTACTGCATTAGAATGGGATCTACCCGGTGACAAATTAGTAGTGGCTGATGTTGCTGGAAATGTACAGCTATGGATGTTAAAGGACCATATTTTGAATGACTGGACTTTAATAGGTTCCACATGTTTTCCCGGTGAACATATATTAGGTGCAGCTTGGTTTCATAACGGCAAGAAGGTATTTATACAAACTAATTTATTGTACCATCAAGCGGTTGTAAATATCTAAAAAAATCTAACATTTTCTTATGTATTTATTTTGAAATTTAAAACCTGAAAATCTTTCAAAGTTATAACTCAGTATTGATTGAATAAATATCTTTGAAACTATAAGGTATATGGAAAACAGTACTGAACAAAAATTTATACAGCATTTAGCGAATGAATGTATTCGCATTTAACCCAGGATGGGTTTTAATTCTTCTACAATAAACCTCTAATCCTCTTGCTTTTCACATCTCCTCCAGCTCCTCATCCCCTCACTTCTATCCTACTAATGTTATCTGCTATGTTGTCCAACTATCTTTTTCTCATTTGTTCTCTCCTCTTAGCTTTTCCTTCATTATCTTTTTCAATATTCCATCTTCATTCTTTTTGCATACTCCAACCAGCCTTTATCCTTTGAGCCTTTATAAATTTTATCATATCATTGCCTTCAACAAGTTCATCCATCTCTATATTATTCTCCATTGATTATTATGTTGCATAAAGCCGTATCTTTATTAGATATTATCCGTATTCCGACTCCATATGTTATATTTAGTCTCACAAAGTCATGTATATTTTCATTTTAATCTTTTTAGTGATTACTATGTATAATTTCACTAATATTTGTTCATAATCAGTTATATTGAATTAGCTTTATTGAATTGTTTTACTGCCTATAATTAAAATGAGTACGTATTAAAAAAAATTAGTATCTTTTAAATATTTGGATTTAAAAATAAGTTTTCAAGGAGGATCAAATTAGTCCCGGATATTTCTGACGGTTTTTTTTTTGTGAACGATAAAAGTTTTTCTTTATATCTATAGAACTATTCGGTCATTCAGCGTATTACCAGTCTCTTAATTATTCTTATTTTGTTGGTTTTAGACAGGACTGGTAACAGAAAAAAAGGATAGTATCCATTATAGTGAAAAATTTAATTATCTCCAGTTCGCACCTTCGGTGAGGCAATTTGGTGGCAGAGCCGCTGAAGGCGTTCTAGTAGTATCGACAACAGGTATGGTTGGTGCAATCATGATCACAAAAGATTTACAAATGCCAATTTGCTACTTAACGGAAAGTCTTGGTAGCACAAGGCACAGGATAACTGCGGTTGATTTATGTTACGGCAAAAGTACGTATTACTAAAAGTAGTATTATCCGCTATGTGACTTATAGAAGTGACTTACAAAGATAAATAATAGCTATGCTAAAGAGATAAACTTTTTGTGAATTTTAGATGGTCACTTCCTCGTTGCAGTTAGCAGCGGTAATATTTGTTTGCCAATAAGATGCTACAACGTGTTGGTACGCAGAAAAGATGATAAATATACTATCACTTCGCAGGCTCTGCCGAGTTTCTTTTTGCAAGATGGAGCGCCCAAGGATAATTCATGTAAAATAAATTATTATATAAAATTTGTTTATATGTTTAGAATAACGTGTCTCACAGAAATTACGAGTCAAAATATTATATGGCAGAAAAATGTTTAAACAATAATTAGCTTTCATAACTTTGTTTAAAAAAATAGTTTTTAATACGAGCTTTTTTTAATATAATTTAAGATTCCAAGTTTAAGATTCAAAACTTACAAATTGGGAATTATTCTCTACGATTTGGAATCAGAAATCCTCCATTTTGTTTATAGGTACAATTGTAACACATCTGAAATTCGTAGTTAGAGAAGACGCAGATTCTCTGGTTATTGCAGGAAATAGCGAAAATGGCGGATTTCTGGAAGTATGGAAGTTGCATGAAAAATCACAACCCGTTCATAAGCTCTTTCAACAACCAAAGAACCTGGAATCTTCCCAAACAGTTGTATGTATATAATTCCATTTAAATTTCGCTATTGCTTTCATTACAAACCGGCACATACATAACTACATCATTTTTACGATCGTAACTAGATTATATTCTCAAAGTTTAGTCGTCTCAGATTCACTCCATATATATACACAGTATGCCAATTATAACTATCTTCACGATTCTTGAAACGCGATAATTTGAGGAAAATTGATTAACGTGAAAAATGTGTAACATATAGCTGTGTTAAAAAAGGTATTTTTGCATCGATTCATATATATACAGAAAAACAGAATATCAGAATACCCGATGATATAAATCGTTGTACATTAGTGCATTGATGCATTTGCACAATGCAATTAATTTTTTAAAACATTTTTCTATGTTTTGCTTGATCCGTCCGTCATTCTACGTACAAACGTATTTAGGAGATGTTATTGGAAAGTGAATACTATATGAGATATTTCATATTTTACCTGCACCTATGGTCAAACTGATAAAGTTAGTAAATAGATCTTTTTGAATCTTATAACTTTTGTTTGTAGCATTTTTTTCAAAACTGTTTTATTTATGAGATATACAAACTTTTGGCTCATCCTGTATACACTCAAAAACACACACACACACACATTTAGTGCAATACTACACGCGCGTGCGTGCGTCTAAAAAAATTAATTGTGACTTTGAATGCTTATAAAGAAGAAGAATCTTCCATTTTTTAAATTAAACATTATAGTTTGTATGAAGCAGATGTATCAGTTCAGGTTAACAATTTTTTTTTTTTTTTTCAAATTACCGCAAATGCTTAAAAACTCGAACGGATCCTTGTGATAAGTATTATATATTGTTTTTGTTATTATTATTTCGTTGTTATTGCTTTATAGGTTTATTGGCAGTATCAGTCACAATATCGCTGTCAGTCACCAGTTACGGCGATAGCAACTACAAAATTATCCATAGAAACAACTTTACCACCTCCAAGTTATGTGATAATAGCACTGGCGGATTCTTCAGTACATTGCTTAAATCGCTTGGATTGTCTCAAAGAAATGACATTTTCATCTTTAAATATGGGCTGGCGCCAAGACGAACCTAGTAGCAAATATTTCAAAAGTTCAGTATCTATATCCCACATGGATCTTTCGTGGTTAGGATGTGTACTTCTTGCATGTGATACCCATGGCAATTTATATCTCTATAAATTGTTACCAGATGGTAGCGCAGGTATGGTATTTTGTCATTTATGTTCATTTATGCTTACGTTACTTGCGTTATTGCAACTATAATATCGTATTCGTGCTCTGAGTATCCTGATGGAAATATCTCAGAATTTTTTTACATTATTTCTCCAAATACAAAATTGAGTAAGAATCAAATAGGAAACATTGCCTATAGACGTTGGCCATCTTTTTTTATTCATTCAGATATTGAAGTATTTAAAAAATCTTCATCCAATTATTTCTGAAAATATTTGAGAAATTTTTTATATATTTTTTTTTTAGAATTTTTCATAGATCTAGAATGTGAAAAATTCTTTAAAAAAATTCTAAGAAGATATGACACTTTTTCACCAGGATAAGAAATAATCTCTAGAAACTCATAGAATGTGAACCAGAACTTTGATATCACATGTCTAATTTGATTTATATAATTCTATAGGTATATCAATGACATTGAGTTATGCCTGTACATTGCTGGAATATTGTTTGGTGACTGGTTTGGATTGGCTAGACATACTTTTATGTCTAAGATCATCTATGATTGAGACATTGTGCGAGCGATTAGATGTTTCTTTCAACAGGCAATCACAGTCTACACAGCAGTATCACTACGTTCAGTTTTTGTGTATCAAGACGTCGTTATATAGGTAAAGTCAAGATTGGGTAATAATTATAGTTAATCTGTTAAGAATTAAGGGGATGTCGGTATGCCAAAACTCACTGGAATGCATCAGGAATTTTTGGGCAAACTATGCTCGTTTGTGGATGCTGCATAGAATTATTACTCATTTTACATAATGATAATACATATGTTAATGTAATCCAGGCTGCTCGATTTTATAACGAAAGTTAAAAAAAACAAGTTAAGAATTGCAGTCCTTTTGCTTCAAGTTTTTGTTCCAGCATGACGTCTACAGCTGCCAACCAAAGATTAAAACATTTGCTTCATACAAAACTTGCAGATTATACGAACAAAGGAAAACCAAGCTTAGCCAAATTTAATAATATTTTACAAACTCCGCTGTAAAATATTATTCAAGATTTTTTAATAGTTATTCTAATGTTATAAGAAAAATGATCCTAAGTTATAATTATACACCGTAGAAAAAATTAATAATTAATTCTTAATTTCTCCAGAATGCTTGTGACGGGACAGAGTAAAGCAGGAGATTTATCATCATTATTAATGATACACTCAGTAGCTACGGCCTTTAAGTCTCTATTGAGACCATCGGATATGATATCTCACGATAAAGGACCAGCTGAGAGCTTAGCTGCGGTTATAACAGATGTTATTACTGATGTCGACAAGGTAACAAGTAATGAATTTAATAAGCTACAACTTAATGAAATAGTGTCAATGGTATTAATTAATTCCAGTGGAAATTAATTAATTCAATTGTTCTATTTTTAATATTTGTGATGCTAGGTGCTACTACATCTTGATCCGAAGGAATTTACGGTGGAGCCAAGCACGCTACAATCATTACAGCAACTCATACAATGGGTAGCTGATTTAGCTTTGAATTTACTGGCTAGACTACCTGAGCAAAGGATGCAGATAAAGACTGGTGGTGTAAGATCTTTTATTTATGTGCTATTATAATTTAAATGCATCAATGAATTGAGATGAATTCATTTTAAATAAATGTCCCAGTTATTGATAATATTTCATTTTACGGCAATTGCATCCGTTTCCCTTGATAAATTCCTAGTAAACACTAAGTATCAATAACGTAACATCAATGTCATAATTTCTTATCCAACAATATAACGCGTTATATTGCATATACGAGTGGGAAATTATATTATTGATGTTGTGTTACCGTTAGTTGATGTTTGCTGGGTCAGTTGATACGAGTCTATATTTATCCCAGGAAAAACTTTTATAAGTGAATTTTGCAAAAAAAAAGAAGCGAGGAATTAATTTGTAACATCTAATAATAGTTACTTAAATTATTTAACATTTTTCATACTTTATAGTTTCTTCTTTTTTTTATTTTGCAGTATGAACTTCTTAAGGATCATAAGGCTTTGAACACCGTTCGGGAACTGCTAGTCATCATACGAATCTGGGGATTGCTTCGTCCATTATGTCTCCCAGTATTTCTTCGTAGCGCGGACAGTCTGGACGTTCTCGCATTGCTGTTCCGCTTGTTGTCGAAATTAGTGCAACCCAATGGAGAACAGCAGCAACAAGTGGATGATGGTTTAATTGGTACGTTTGTAAACTTCCTTTTTAAATTTCTTTATATTACGAAACAATGTGATTTCTACCTACCGCGTGTCGCTTTATTTAACAATTTATCTTAACTTTTTCGTGCCTGGTGAGACATATGTCCTTAAAAAATTAATATCTTTTACAAAAATAAAAATAACAACTTCTTTCTGAGCTCACTTTAAAGATGAAGGATAAGACTCTTCACAAAAAAAAATTAACATCCTTGTGAGTTTCACCCCTTGATCTCTTTACGAGTATTTCACGAGGTATCAAAATGAGGTAAAAATGATATATATAATTAAGTCAATAAAAATTTCAGTAAGGAAGCAAGTTTAAAGAACCGAAATAGAAAAAACCGCTATTTAAACGGTTTACCGATACTTCATTGTCCAAAAAAAACCGAAACTTTTATTACACATTTTACTGGACCGAAAACGGACCGATATTTTCATTCGAACTGAATATATCGACCTAGGTTAACACATTCGTTTCAGGGTGTCCACGTTTGACCTAGATAGAGGAGAATTTCGCGTGAAAATACTAAAGAGATTTTACTCTCGTCCTATGGGTCATTTTCTCAAGTGTCATGGGATACCTTATTCTCTTATAAACAGAGTTATCTGCTGTCTTTAGCTGACTATGAAGGCCGATCTGATGACTGGCGGTCACAACTGCCGACTCTTAAAGGGCCTATCGTAGTGAAATGTCATGTAACTAGTCTAATTGGTCCATTAAGAATCGGATTAGTCTTCACAGTCAAAAATTTCATACGAGTTTAAAGTGGATTGATTAATTGAAATAAATGGTTTGTTCTTTTTAGTCGCACCAATTCAGCAGTGTAGCTAAAAAGAACAGACCAAAGAAGACAAAACCAAAATTTGTTGATTCGTTGAAATCTCCAATACCTAGTCTTAACGCATAGGTCTATATTATTTCATTCATTTGATTGAAAAGTGAGTTCAGAATATGGACCATCATTTTAGATGATAATATCATTTCAGATAATTTTTAGACGAGACGTGTTTTTTATCCAAGATGAAGATGAATATATGTATTGTATTTCTTCCATCTAAATAAAAATAAAGATGATCTATTTATTCATCTGGATGATTATTTAGATACTTTTATCTAGATACTGGCAAACACTGATTCTATTAAAACGTATTAGGGACATCTGATGGATATTTGTTTAATATATTGCAGGGTGTTCTCAGTATGTTCTGAGTCGGCTTCGGATGAAGACATAGAAACATCTTTCGCATATTCTCAAAATATACGTATTTCGAATATTAAATAGTAGGATGTACATAATCTACGTTTGCGATATACTGTTTACATGCTCTACCTGTGTTATATGGGATGGTATTTCCATTAATATGTTAAGTTCAAATTTAAACAAGTTCTGAAAAAAATGTCTTGCCAACTACTTTAAGTCTTCCCTATAAGCGTGTAATATTCCTAAAATATTATATGCGTATTATTCAACGTTAAAATAATATTCTTATAATATTCTAAGAATGTTATGTAATATTTTTTAATATTATAAGAATGTTCTATTGATATTATATGTTCACTTCACATAATATTCTTCACATATTATAAAAAAATAATAATAATATGGAAAAATATATATAATTTTTTTTTGTATAAAACGTATTTTTACACAGAATTTTTTCGACTTTATTTATATAATAAAACAATTGGTATCACAGTACATTTAAAATGAAAAAAAAAACTACAATTGTATATATATACGAGGGCAGTCCGATAAGTACTTAGCCTTCAAAAGAAAAACGAAAATTTTGGAAAAGTGGCGATTTATTTCTCAACCTAGTCTCCTTTTAGCTCGATACACTTGACCCAGCGATGCTCCAACTTCTTTAACCTATCTGAAAAATACGTTTTCTCGAAGTCTGCAAAGTAGGCCTCCGTGGCGGCGATGGCCAAATTGGTCGAATTGGACTACAAACTGCTGCCCCATCCACCGTATTCTCCAGATTTGGCCCCGTGCGACTTTTTTTTGTTTCCAAACTTGAAAAAGTCACTCGCCGGGCAGAAATTTAAGTCGAATGAGGAGGTCATCGCCGCCACGGAGGCCTTTGCAGACTTCGAGAAAACGTATTTTTCAGATGGGTTTAAGAAGTTGGAGCATCGCTGGGTCAAGTGTATCGAGCTAAAAGGAGACTATGTTGAGAAATAAATCGCCACTTTTCCAAAATTTTCGTTTTCCTTTTGTAGGCTAAGTACTTTTCGGACTGCCCTCGTATATATAAAGTTGAATATTTAGAAAATATATAATATTAAAATAACATTAAATAATATTATTTTTTTTAATACTATTAAGAGTGGACATATAACCATCTATTAATATTCCACAAATATTATTTAATATTAAATAATATTACGCGCTTATACGGTTTATCTGTGATTTTGAAACATATATTACGATTTGTGGTCAGGAAGTGATAAAACAACCGCATCCTGAATTGCTACAATCTCGAACAGAGAGAAAGACGAAGTATATCAGAAAGTACTAAATAGTTCGCATCGCGCATAACAGTTGTGTAACACAATTACTGCACGCCGATGTAACAAAGCTAAAGTAACAATATAATAATACAAATTAGAAGATGCACAGTAATATATATGTGTGTGTGCGCGTATAAAAAAGTATACGTACAACAAGTGCGATTCAACATAAATACGGTCTATACAGGACAAATATCATCAAGAAACAACAAGCAAAATCTACTGAAAGTACCATGACAACCAAGTTTACGATTAAGCATAAAGACTCTCTAGTCCTGAAGGAAAACAAATCGCTTCAAGAGAAAAAGTGCCAGAGCTACAACCAGTTCAATTTGAAGAAATGCGAACATTTATCGTTTTCTTGGTTAATCTTCAGCGTCTTTCTGATCTATTGGTTTGTTTTATGTCCCCTAATTTGGGCAATATGCGATGTATCGAAGTCGTATTTGCTTTCATATTGGCCAGTTCTTTTCTGGACAGTTGCGCTTTTAATTTGGATCATGATCATGTGTGCACTTGTAATCTTTTGGAGGAGACGTTTGCAGGCTCGAGAAAATTCCGAAATCAACCTGATAACTCCAAAATATGGTTCGGATAACGTGGAAAAACGTTTAAGTGTTCCTCAGATGTCTCCTGGAGATGCAAATTCTCTCGAAACAAAGAAGACTGATAATCTGTTGAGTCAAAAAGAAACAAACGATTCTGCTAACTGTCGTAAAAAGGACTTACCACCTCTAATGATACATAAACAAATGTCCGGTGAAAATATTAACGATATAGGAACCGTGCATGTTGAAAAGGACGAAAATGATCAGCTAGATGTTACCAGTGAGAGGAATTCATTACAAGAACATGTAAAGTCGGGGACCGTGTCGGAGAACGTAGCAAAATCGCCGAAAGTCCCGCTGTCGCCGAGAGAATTGTTCTTCATCGATCTAATTCGTGAAGCGGAAAAAACCGAGAGTGCGATATCACTAGAGAAGAGTCACTTCTTCCCGAAAGGAACAACCCAGAGTGATAGTGAAAGCGAGAAGGAAATAAAGAATAGCATAGATATGACGAATGAAAAGGACGTAGATGTTGAAGATATGAAAAATGAACAGGACGATGATATAAAAAATGAATCGAAGTGTGAATCGAACTATTTCATAGCAGATATAGAAAGCCCAGTTAACGAAAAATCGGAGGTCTTCCTTCAAATCGATTCAAGCGTAGAGGAACAATTGGAAATAAACGCGGAAAACCCCGTTTTGATATTATTACCTAATAAAGAAAATGTGTAGATGACATCCATTTTGCGAGTTAATTAGATTACACTAATATGAATGAATAATTATGTTAATTAAAAAAAGCGAGAAGTATAACCAAAATGGTAGACTTTCAAGAAGGATAATCTCTTAAGGAAGTACTGTTACGTGAATAAAGAATCGATATTGTTATTAATAATTATATTTTTTTAACTTTCTATATTTATCCTCCCTCCCCCTCTCCCCATTTGCTTTCTTGCAAATAGCGTAACTATGTTATCACATATATATAACATTGAAAATTTTTGTAGGTATTAAGATTCTCTTTAAATGAAATTAAAAAAGAATCACGTTTCCTTTTCAGATGATTGTTGTTTACTGCCAAATCAAATCATGATTCCGCAATTGCACCAGGGTAATAGCATAACTGCTATAGTTTCACCAGTTTTGTTTTACCAGAACTTTCCATTGCAGGTAAAAATCGCAGAAACTTCGATTATTTCTTCAACTAAATTTCTATTTCAATTATGTAAAAGCGCTCGAATTTTTATCTAGTGCCATATTCATGCACACATTATTTCCTACTTCTATAATAATGCAAATGAATGTGTTAAATTATAGCTGGAATATGGAGTGGAACCAGAACAGCTGCTTTTTACACCAGAAATGAATCCCGTTGAAGGTTGTATGCATAGCGGCCAGATTGTAGACACTATTCGACACTTGTATCTAGGGAAACAGCCGCTTTTAGTAAAGCAATGCACGAGGTATTACCGTTTTAATAATTATAGAAAGTAACAGAAAAAATTGGGCGTTTTTGTGTTAAATTTCAATAACATTATGAATATTCTCTCCGAATATTTTCAGATGTGGCGGTAAAGCGCAAATACAGAATATGATGAGAACAGCTGCAGTTAGAGCCTGGGACCAAAGATGGACGCGAGCTTGTCGTTGCGGCGGTATTTGGCGAATTCACAAAGCCTGTTAGTGTGTGTGTGTGTGTGCGTGACAATTACTTGAGAATTCATATTACAAAACGAGCTTCTCTACATTCAAGTACCGACAATGATACGTATTTGGACTTGGTATTCCGTCCGTCGTGCAAAATTTGAAGTCTACATTTTTGAGATCGTTTTTTTTTTTACTGTCTTGCAACACTTGAAAGAAGTAATTAAGGAGATCTCTTAATTACTTACTACAGCTATCTTATTATCTTACATTGTTATTGGCGAAAATAACATATGAATTAGTTTTCGAGAAGAGTCGAAATAACAAGAAAGAGAAAAATACTGGAACAGAAGATTCCTTTATTTATAGAAGGTTACAGAAGGTTAACTTCGTTAATTAATGATAAATATCGTAAATAAATTCGACATTCAAATAAAATTTTATTACAGATGCATAGTCGTTACATTAGATTTTGTAAAGAGAAAGTAATAAAGAAATGACAAAGGAATGTTAATACGCAAATTGAAATTCCGGATAAAATGGGTCGTTCTTATAAACAAGTTCAGTGGCTCTCTCCTTTTTTGCCAGACACTCTTTTAAACTCTCCCATATTGGTAGTTGAGATCGGTGAGCCGATTATGATTAAATGATCGATTCTTGTTGTTTCTGAGCCGCTCTGATTGTCTATCACAAAGATTTGAAGATTTTGCACATTCTGGAACTTAACATAGCGTAGAGGAATTTGATTCCCTTCTTCAAGATCCTTAGCTGATAACCTACGCACCAGAATTACACATAAATTATTTTCTTATTTTAGAAAACTTATATATTAGGGAAATTATTCTATTCTATTATTGCACCAAAAGTCACTGAATTACAAATTTACAAATCCATCTTAACTGTTATCCATAAAGAAAGGAAAGGATCTTGGGGTAACGTTTTAAATCGGCCGAATTTGTGGTTAGAACATCCGTTGGGAAATACTCTTCTTCAATTCTCTCGCAAGATATACCCTCTCTCTCGTAAGGTATGCAATTTTGGTTGTTGTGACTCTCGTTTAAGATCGTCGTAGCTGCATGTTCAAAGCTTACGTTAGATCTTGAATACTCGTATTGGAACTCGCCATCTCGAAATCGATCGTCCTAGGTTGGTTGATGAATAGTTTGATGCTTCTCGGTCCATTCTCCGCAGGTGCTTTGATTTTGAGCGAGTGAATTTTGACAGGTTGCGAGAACGCAATAGACATTATCAATTGCTCATCCTCGTCGCTTTGTAGGTATCCGCTGTCTGAGTTCAAACACTGAGAAAAAGTGTGATAATCCGACTCATTCAGACATTCACATTGCTGCTTCATTATGAAACAGGAAAGATCCATCTGGAAGGCAACCAAGAAAATTTCAACAAAATATAACATTGATGAAATAAACGATGTCGCTCTGTGTTCCTTTTTTTTCTTTCTTAGTTTAGGAAAAAGTAGGCAGAGCAAAGTAGTCGTCTGTAAAAACATTAGACAACTTTATATTAAAGCTTTTACGCAATCTTATATTTGATTATATCTATAATTTTATCGATAGCAGCAGCGTTAATACATATGGCAAATATTAAAGTTTATATATATATATATAGAATGTTATATCCATTCTTTCTTGAATGCTTGACCATATTTTATCCAAACTTATGATAATTCAAAAATTTTCAATATTTTCTTCTGCCTTTAAATATATTTATACATGCGAGAACAACAAATTTGAGAAAAAAATATTAGCCTTGATCGTTTAATTAAGTTTAATTGAATTGAGTTAATAGTTTATAGATCATATTAAATTATTGGATGATATTATTTTATAAATCACGATAAGTTGAATTCCATCTGAATTATATAATATCTTACACAATTATGCAAAATGTTGGACAAAATGTATTTTTTTTTAACTGTGACTATTCTGTATATTTTTTTCTAGTAGCTTAAAATTTTTGCTAATATCAATAATTGATATTACATTTCATTACATTTACAATTAATTTTGCTAATATCAATAATTGATATTACATTTCAATTACATTTACAATTAATATTAATTAATTTTAATTAACGAGCGCGTATATTGGCCTTTAGGAGCAACGCATGGATATTATAGTGCGATATTGAATATTTCCGATATTAATATTATTATTGAGTGAGGGGATAAAATTGTTTTACGAATAACGCGCGTGCTGAATTGTCTCAGCCGACTGTCGCCGCGAATCAATTTTTCCTTGCTTAAATCGACCCTTGAACCCTAATAATGTCATTATAAATTCGAATTCCTTTAATGCCCCGTTGTTAAATTAATTGGAAAGCAACTATTTTTTTATTCCGTTAGTCTTAAATAATTCAGTTTTAATTTAATCAATTGTATCCCACTAAATCTCATGACAGCGCTAATTAACATTATTATTATAATATAAATAATATTTAGATAAAGATTATTAAGTTATACACAAAATTGGTAAACAAATATATATGTGTACACATGCGCGCACATGTATGATTCGTAATTACATTATCAGCAGTACTATATTATTATAGATCTATTGACAATATCAATTTAATATATATGTATGTATACATTATGTATGTATATATGCATATATCACAAATTGAAATAATATTATTAATAGTTAGAATACCAATGAAAGCCATTAGAAAGTATGCAGCTAATTATCAAATTGTACAAGAGATTGACACTTAGATATTTACCATATATATAATCAAAAGACAGTGTTATAGAACTATGTGAAAAAATTATTATAAACTTAATATTTCCAGAAATTTTACCTTTTCACATTCTTAAAAATAGAATTCAAAAAAATTGCTTTTTTAATTGTACGAAGAATATATTTATATGTCAAAATACTTGTCATACATATCAGTAAAAATAGAAATATAAAGAATATTCAATAAAATAATTGTAAATTCATATGCATCCTTTTCTTTGCAAAATAGAAAATGAATATTATATTAACCACAAATTACAGTTTAATCAAATATATTCATAAAGATTTTCTAGTTAGTATGTTTTCTGTATAATAATTTTTACTCATAATTTACAAATATTAATATCTTGAAAAAACTAATTTTATACCGATTAAAAAAAATGTAAATATAATAAATAAGAATAATTGATACGTGATAAAAAAAATTACTAAGTGAGAATTTATGTAATAATACAAATAAAGAAATTTCAATAAAGCTTCAAAAGTAGTATAAGTAGATACTAAAACCTTATTTATGTTTTTATTTGAAAAACATGGTAATATTATATATGGAAAAGGGGGCACACAGTGAAATCTGTGGAAGTTGAGAAAGTTTAAAATAAAGTTTATATAGGTGAATTAATTTCTGTATAAAATTTAAGATTTTATCTGCGATTGATTAATATTATACAGAAAATAATAACAAAAACTTCTCATTGGTACTTATTCCAGTAATACAGAATCACAGCGAGAAAGATCATTCCAAAAATATGATAATAAGCATTATCGGAACTCCCTACATGTCCAGGTACAGAATCTGTGACCAACTCATCAGTCTCAGAGTCACCACTGCCATAGAACTGTTGGATCTTTGATTCTAGCCCTGTTGGATCTGCACCTTGACACTGACCCAGTTTTGCACGTTTACGGTAAAAGATAAACGTAGGCATTGCATGAACATCCTGTATCGCAGCTGTTTCTCTGCATTTGTCCACATCTACTTTCAGAAATACCGCCTTGGGATATTTAAGGGATAATTGCTCAAATACTGGAGCAATTCTTTGACAAGGCCCACACCTGTATACAATTAAGTCAAATAACATGTATCAATCGCATAATATCAATTGTGATATCTTTTAAAGATTAGAATTGTCAAAAAAAGCTTTAAAATACAGATCTTTAGAACATCTTATCAGATATGATTGATAATATGATACTTTATTTCCCCCCCCCCCCCCGCCCCTATATGTATTTGCTAAGAATAAATATATATATTCGCAATATTTCGCACACATATATATGTTCAAATCAAGTAAATAAAATTTTACTAAAGAACAAAGTCTATTGTAACCGCGATTTATATAGGTATTTCCAAATATTAACATTGCTTATCTAGTCGGCTTAGAAAGTACTTCATTTGCGGATTAAAAAGAAACACTCAAATTCTGATAGAAATTATTGAATGAATGCGTTGATTTGAATAAATATGTAACAATGACAAATATAACCTAAAACTTGCTTACCAACTTGCCGTAAAATCTACAACTACAAGCTTATGTCCGGCATTGGTTAATTCACTGTGAAAATGACGATCGTCATTAATTACTCGTACTGCTCCCATTCTGATTATTTAATCACATTAAATTTACTACTTAAATAATCTGATATGAGAAACCAAACCGACTAAACGCTTCGATCGGAATGACTGGCACTCTGGCAAACACACATACACTCTCTCTCTCTTTCTCTCTCTCTATCTATCTATTTCTATCTCTCTCAGTATATGTAGAGACGATATATGTAATACTACTACATAGCCTGAGTGAGAGAGAAGTTTCGCCTCATAACCACGGTTGGGGGAATATATTTTCCTCTCTTTTTACATGTATTTTGAACGTAATGCGCATGCGTCGGATTGATGTCTCCGCCAACACAAAATTAAAATATATTTTAGCACATGTGTGTATGTGTGTGTGTGTGTGTGTGCGTGTCATCATCTGATCGCCGCGTTTGCGCACTACGGTCAAAATACATATATCGGGCATCGTCTATCCTTCCATTCTGAGTCGGCTCTCACAGACAGCATAGGACGACTGGCTATTCACAGAAGTGAGACCGCAACAGTACAGTGCAGACAATGTTCGTCTGCCTTTATCAATGTTCGTTTTTTTGTAAAGCGCATGCGTGACATTTGCCCTTCCACCATGGTCCAAGCCGATTGACCTGACGCTATGTTGAAAACTAACCACGTAAATTTTATAAACTTATATTTATCATCTATTCATATAATAGAACTCTGTCATGATAATAAAAATATTTATTTTTCTTATTAATTACTCAGTTCCTTGAATAAATTTGTTTACATTTTGTCGCTACGCTAGCGCATGGACACTTCTCCCACTCTTTCCTATCAGCCAATAACCGTCCATCTTCTATCCTTCAGTGTCGGGTTCACTTATAGGAAAACTGCTGCGTTAGGTGCGTTTCACTTAACGCTCGCAACGATCGCGAGTATCATTCTATCCTTCTTTCGTTCGGATGTTAAACAAAAACAGAACGGTGCTTGCAATCGTTAAGTAGAACCTGCCCCTTATAGAAATATTACATATATGACACCACGAACACAACTAAGGTGATATATATAACACACATGATATATACAACACGAAAGTTGCTCACCTAATGGCAGCACCAATCAAAGAAGAGAACACGATCCGCCTCACTCTCTCTAGCTTCTCTCTGCGTGTCCAATCTCTGATTGTAGGGTCTCTAGTTTCCTATGAAATAACATGTCCGCCTCGCGGGAGAAGAAAGCGTGTCAATTATTAGTACTTCAATTTTTTAGCAATTACAGTTGGACGTATGGCACTCTTGTTGAGTTAGCCGCGCGAAATTAATTTGCAATAGAAGATGAGTTTCTCCGTGAAGAAGACCGGTGGCAGAATGTGGCACGAGGCACGCAAGCAGGAAAAGAAGATACGCGGAATGCTGGTCGATTATCGTCGTCGAGCGGAACGTAGACGAGATTACTACGAGAAAATCGTAAGAATATGAAATAAAGTGCGACACCACTCAGATTCCCTCATGCTATTTAATTTACCGAATTCAATTATGTGTAATAATATGATATATGTATCCCCCCCCCCTCTCTTTCTCTCTCTCTCTCTCTCTCTCTCTCTCTCTCTCTCTCTCTCTTTTTCTCTTTTGGTTATCGTCAACGCAGTAGAATGAATGTTCTGTAGAATTTTCCTTGTTAAACACGTTTGCTCTCGTGTCATTTTCTATGCTCTATTTAGAAGTCAGATCCTACGCAATTTCTTCAACTACATGGCAGACCTTGCAAGATTCACTTGGATCCAGCGATAGCTGCTGCAGGTGCCAGCCCTGCCAATATGTAAATATATAATAGCAGTGTGTGTTATGATTATTGGTTATATTCATTGATCTTGTAATTTTATCATAGAATGCCTTGGCAAGGCAACGAAGACAATCTCATAGATCGCTTTGATGTAAGAGCACATCTTGATTGGATACCAGAGGCACCAGACACGATCGATGTTGATATTGCTCTGACAAGTGAAGATAGACATATCAATTATGAACGCTACCGTATTATCGTTCAAAATGAATTTTTAGGTGGTACGTTTCTTCATTGTCTCATGGATAATTCATGCAAAATGACTTGCCATATTTAGTAATCAATATTTCTTGGCTTTCAGTGGCTGAAGAAAAGTTTCTCCATCAAATATATTTGGAGGAGCAGTTTGGTTCATCCACAAAATTGGATGCCAAAGATAAGAAAAAGTCTGCCAATAGTGCTGCCATTGGATACAATTACGAGACAGAAGAACCGATACCTGAGCCAGTAAAACCGATAGACCCTGTTATATCGGAAGATAAGGCAGATGACGAAGATAGCGATATAGATTTAGGTATTGTTGATTTAATTAATGCTATTCAGCGCTTGAACAATGATGAGAAAGGATTGCCTTTTCTCATATAATTTATCACTTCTGTTTAGACATATGTGTGGATGTATCTCAAATAGAACCATCTCAGGCGCATGAGATGAATTTGGTAGCTCAAAAATATGGACTCCTAGGTGCTGATTATTTTAGCTTTCTAACGCAAGATTTCGAAGAAGCTGAAACTCTGCGGCAAGCCCGAAAGCAAGAGGAGGAGAAAGCCATGTATTCGGTAAACAGTTATATCGATGTACTCGAATAATCGTATATTCTGTCCACATCCTACTCGAAAAAATATTGATAACGTGTCTTCAAATAGGGTCGACGATCGCGTAGGGAGCGACGAGCATTCAGAGAAAAAAAGATGATAGGTCGCGTGATGAGTCCACCTAGGTAATAACTTGAATTATTTTCTCGACTTTTGCTTATTATCTCCTCAAAATCCTCATTCGTGCAGTTACGCGGCGAGGGAGAGTCCGGAGTACAATCCCTACAGAAAGTCTTCTTCCAAGTCGCGATCGCGTTCCGCATCGCCTGTAAATACCGGACAGATTACTTACATCACGAGTTTCGGCGGGGAGGAGGAAACTCACGGCAGTACCTCGCACGTCACATCGTCGTACTCAAAAAAGGTCAATTATTCGTACCTCAGACGGCGGCGATCAGAGAGTCCCACTTTCAGTGAAAGAACAGTCAGTAGGAAACTGTCGAAGTCTAGGTCGAGAAGTTGTTCACGCTCTGTTAGTAGGACTAAATCGTATAAAGCACGCGATAGAAAGCGAAGTGGATCCAGGATAAGGTAAGACGACGAACAGCTTTTTACAAAATAATTTTGTTCGAAAACCAACGCTGTAATCGTTCGTTAAATTATTTCGTAATATGTTTGCTTTTCATTTGTCTGATCACTTCAGATCCAGAAGGGCTCGCTCGAGACCTCGAAAGTTCACCAGATCCAGGACAAGAAGCCGGTCCAGGCGATCACGAAGTAAATCACGATCGCGCTGCAGGAGCATCAGCCGATCTCGATCCAGGTCTACTGTTTCCCGATCTAGGTCTCGTTCGCGTTTGAAGAGATCTAGGAGCGTGTCTTCGAGCAGCGTATCGAAATCGAGATCTAGATCACGCAATAGGAGCCATTCGAGAGATAGCTATCGGAAAAGACGTTACTCGCCGTCTAAGTCAAGATCCAAGTCACGATCGAGATCGAAATCTCCGACGAGATCTAGAAGTCGGTCAAGAAGTCAGTCGAGCTGTAAACGATCGCGGAGTGATGACAATAAGACACCAGCACTGCCAAGGTGAAAATCTTGTGGAATCCTACAAGTGCCTGATTATTTCACTGTGCTGTGATAGATTCGCCGTTTGTCTCTAACAATCAATTACTGTTTGCAGGTACTATGGCCGACGTGGGAAGTCGTCGAGTCTTGAATTAGAACTGTCCGATAACGAAGAGAAAGCCAGTCCAGCAGCGCCGAAGCCGCCGATAATTAACACAAGCACGTGGGTGCACGAAAAAGTCTCTATAGTCTAAAATTTATTTCGCGCGTATCTGAGATGGTTATATTTTAAACGAATCTTTCTTGAATATTTCAGGAACAAGCCAAAAGCAGGGTTAAGTACAAATTCTGGTGGCGGACACAAAGTCAGTAAGAACCATAACGCTTTCTTAGTCACTTAACGCACAGAGAATAAAGACAGAACATTCTTGTCTCTATATAAGTACCCTTCTAAACGAGGAGTCTCGACGAGCGCTTCTCGTTTTCATTATGCTAACACATCACCGATGTGTTCATGTATTACATTTATTTGATGTTTATTTATTTATTTATTTTTTTTTTAACGTATTGTCAAGCACATGTTTTACGGGCACCGTTAGAGCAACGAGGAATTTGAAATGTTCACGTGCGAATCGACAAACTTTCAAACGACCATAAAACGAAAAAAAAAACAACGATTATTATTAATCCTCAAACGTTCATATTCAGTTTGTCGCATCGTTGCTGTTATTTCCTTAATCTGTGTGATCAAACGACATTCGGTCAGTGAAAATGACAAATTTCTCGTGGTGCATATTTATGTTTTTATCTGGTAACGCGTTATCAATTGCGTGTGTACACATTATGTATGCATTGCGAGTTAGATTTGCATATTATACCAAGAGGGCTAACTAGCTACAGAGCTTTAAGAGTATATACATCTTTCAGTCACTGAAAATCACACCTCAGGAGCGGCTTAAGAAAAAAATGCAGGCTCTATTGAATAGACAATGTGAGTTGTGCTTAAAAAAATACGCTGCGCAGTTGCATATTGTGAAACAAACTTAAAATGTGCATTTCTGTGCAGATAAAGCTGACAAGAAGGCCGAGCAACTAAGAATTGAGAAAATGGAGCAGCAGAGGCAAGACCGGGAAGACGAGATTCGAGAGATGTCCCTAAAACTCCGTAGAAAGTAAGATGTTTTTTTTCTCATTTTGTTGAAAAGGGCTCTTTGTAAGCTGCGGCGTTAATTTCATCTGATCTTTTAGGCAAAGAGAGCGAAGGCATCGCTACGAAGGCCACAGTTCCGATACACGTTCTTCCGCGTCTCGCACGTCAAGCCCTAGCCGTAGTCCCCGACATCATGTCGTGCGTCGCGAGAGAAGAGATCGAGACATAGATGGCGATCGTGATAGAGAAAGAGAAAGAGACAGGGAAAGAGACAGAGATTATCGACGCGATGATCGCGATCGTGATCGTGATCGCAATAGAAACGATTCACGTAGAAGGCATAGGGATTCACCACCTCGTTCACTGAGCCCCAGGAGCAGTCGGTAGAGTATCTCCATTGCCGACGGGCGAAATCAAGTTGCATCGGCAATTTGTAAATATTTCAAAATGATATGTAATATCTTAACGAATTAATTGGTGCCTTAATAAAACGAGAAACAAAGTCGTTCGATGCAACTGAATCTAAATACAATAATGTACGATTGTACTGTACTAACATTATTTTTCCTTATTCCAGAGGCCTAGTCGACTATTGACTTCAGGATACACGTTTCATCTTCCATCCGGATGTTAAAGGACAGAGATGAGTTAAAATATGTTTCAAATACTTCCCGTTCAACCGTATTCTTTCCTCAAAAAATCGCTGTAACTAACGTTTCAAAGGAATCGTGTGCTACGGGGAAATTGTATGAAACTACCGGTATCATCCTCCTAAGAAGCGTCGTGAAATAGCATCACTTATATAAATCTGCTAATATATATATATATATATCAGATATGTGGAAGTATTTGTATATCCATATTTCTACTTGGCGCGATTGTTACACGCGATGAGCATGCGCAAACCAGCGTGCAACACTATCGCGAGGATTGTATTTGTAAGTTTTACTTCAAAAAGAGAGGAATTATCTTCGGAAGATACGTTACTATTGTACTTTAGAGTTGAGCGCACTTCGCTATTTATTAGATACCAATTATTGTTAGATAATTGTTCAATAAAGGCGTTTATTGCGCAACGGGTAAATGTCGTAAATAATACTTCACGTTGTTATATTATTTATCATTACAAGTACGATATAGGTTGTCTCTCTTAGATATGTTTGTTGCTTACCATAATAATATGAAATTGAGGGAAAAAATTATTTACCGAGAACTTATAGCCGATACGCGAGATTTTCACACGAATACAGCTGATCTCTATGATCTTTTTCTTTTTCAATTATTATTATTCACTTATTATCATTTTATTATCAATGTTATTCTTTGAAGACTAGAATCTCTGCTATGAAATCCAGATAACTCAGGATATCATTATCTTTGCAATCTGATCGAACTTTCGAGACTTGATAATATACGTGATGAGGAGTGGGAGGGTCTGTTAGTTCTTTCTTAATCCTTCCTCAGACACAGAGTTAAGAGAAGATTGAGGCTAAGATGGCAGAAATAACATTTGCAATTTTAACCGGTATGTATCATATGCAGTATTAATGTTTTGCATTTGTACTTTGTATGAAATATATCAATGTTCAAAAGTGTGCATTAATAAATTTCAATTTAAGTAAAATATTACAACGAAATGTATATACCCATTTAGAGGTTAGAATTAGTTACCTACCCAGATAACAAAATGTATTCATTCTGACTTCATTTTGTATTCACAATAGTCACAACGTGAAGAATGGATGCGGGCTCATATATTACTCGGTCGTCGTTTATATCATGATGTCACAAAAATATCTAATAGCATTAATCATAATTATTTAATGATCTTTAAAAAAAAATACCAAGTTGAAGTCACGATGTAACGTTGTGATAAAATATGATCATCACGTATTTCTATCTAGCTCAACACATTTAATTACAAATAATTATATGCAGGCAATAATTTTTTCTCACAATTCTGTTATTATTTAGTGAGCGATACTTGTGCAAAGGGTGAGAAAGTGGACACAAGTGGTCCCGCATTGAAAGAACTTATTAGCGACACAAGCACCAAAGTAGGAAATATACTTAAAGGAAACGTCATTTGCACAGCAATTGTGCCAGATGATAAAGATACGATAATGGTAAGGAATTTCAATAATCTCCTTATGCCATCTTAATTTTTACTTTATTTTCTTTTAGAAATACTTAATTTCTCGGAGTGATAAATACAAAGCAAATGTTATTCTTACCACTGGAGGAACTGGATTCTCTAAGAGGGATGTAACACCTGAAGCAACTAAAAAAGTTATTAATAAGGAAGCTCCTGGAATGTTTACAGCAATGTTGATAGCAGGCTTGGAAAAAACATCAATGGCTATGCTTTCTCGGTATAGATATTTATTTCTGCTCACCTAATAGTTCTTGAAATTATAGCCTTTACAATTAATGCATTCTCAGAGCTGTATGTGGAATACGAAATAAGACCTTAATTATTAATCTGCCTGGTTCACGTAATGCTGTGGAAGAATGTTTGACTGCGCTTGCACCTGTGATTCCGCATGCGGTAGATTTGATCACAGATAGGAAAGCATTAATTGCAGAAACTCATAAAGTTATGGAACACACAGAATCATCTTTATTAAGTCAACACGCTGGCCCTAGCACTGTGGTAAAATAATTTTTATATTGTACTGCTTAAAGCAATTAGATGATTATTTCTTCAAAAGAAGAACTAATCATTCGATATGATAATTATTTTGTGTGCAATGTGGGGAACAATTGAATATAAAGATTCTACGGGAAAAGCATGTACAAGTAAAAAAAATCTTTGCAGACGCTTTATAAAAATGTAGCACAACGCCACAGACAGTCTCCGTTTCCTATGATTTCGGTGGAAGAAGCAATGGAGTTAATACGTAAAAATGTACCAAAAGCAGAGACCGAAGTTGTGAATACGAAAGATGCATACGGCAGAATATTAGCCAAAGATGTATATTCCTTTTACGACTTGCCGCCATTTAGAGCTTCCATTAAAGACGGATATGCAGTATTGGCAAGTGATGGGAAAGGTAGAAGGAAAGTGTTATGTGGTGTAACAGCAGGATCTGAAGTAAGTTGCGATCTGTCGGAACAATAAATTGAAGCTTTACAAGGAAAAATATTTTTCAGCCCTTTTCAACTTTACTTAAAGCTGGCACGTGCGTGCGTGTAAACACTGGAGCACCTGTACCCGAAGGTAAATAACAATTTGCATTGTACTTTTTTCGTTATTTTTGCTATTTATACAAATTTATATAATTAAAAATTTGCGTCTGACTTCTTTATTGAGTTACAAATGCGCTGAGGGTAAAATTAATTTATTCGTGATTATATATATATAATTTCTTACTGCTTTTTTTTTCTGATTGCAGGTGCAACAGCAGTTGTACAAGTTGAGGATACAAATTTAATATCAGAGAACTCTGATAAAACTGAAGAAGAAGAAATTGAGATAATGACCGAACCCGCGGTAGGGCAAGATATTAGGTACAAAGCTTCGGTAAAAATTTTTGAGAAAAAGTATCTCGTCACCCCTAACTCTATCTCTTTATGCATTTTTGAAGACCTATCGGTTGCGACATAGAGAAAGAAAGCTTAGTTTTAAATGCATATACGAATATTGGTCCAACGGAAATAGGACTTCTGGCCGCTTGTGGCGTTAAAGAAGTTACGGTTACGAAACTTCCTTCCATAGGAGTGTTGTCTACTGGAAACGAGTTGCAGGAAATTGGACAACGATTAGAACCAGCATGTGTTTACGACAGCAACAGAATAACCTTGATTACACTATTAAAAGAGAACGACTTCACAGCTTTGGATTTCGGAATCTCGGTTGATGAGTAAGTGTACCAAAATTTGACGTGATTGCTAATACGCGCGTTACATCTACTCAGTTTACAACTAAAATTTAAGATGCTAAAAAAATATTCTCATTACTTTTCAGGGAAATGGTTTTGATATCTAAAATGCAACATGCTTTACAAAAGGTAGATGTGCTTGTGACAACAGGTTCTGTGTCAATGGGCGATAGAGATCTACTAAAGCCTATTTTACAAGAATACTTTAAGGCCACGATACACTTTGGTATTTATTTTACCATACATTGATACTATAATATAGTTATAGAGTTAAATAGTAAAAATAGACTGAACGTGAAATATAGGATCAGATAGAAAGAGACGGGCAATAGGTGCAGTGTAGCTTTCTCTTTCTGATGAAGGAAAAATGAGATGTATGAAAGAGAGGAAGATAGCTAAGCACATCTTTTTTTTCTGATGCGTGAACAATCGAGCGTTCATCTGTCTGCCCACTCTTTTTTTACATCCCACTCTTTCCTCATTAAAAAAAGAGAGAAAGTTACACGGCACTTATTGTCCGTCTCTTTCTATCTGATCTTCATTGCTTACTAGAGGACATGCTCAGTCTATTCTTATTATGTCTATGAATGTAGCATACAATATAAATGCATTTGTTAGAGCACGATATACGTTTTAGGTCGCGTGAATATGAAACCAGGAAAGCCAACGACGTTTGCAACGTGCACATTCAACAATAGACGAAAGTATATTTTATGTCTGCCAGGAAATCCAGTATCTGCTGTTGTTACTGCACGTTTATTCCTTTTAACTCTTTTGAATGAAATGATTGATAATTTGTGGAAACCCATCATAGTGAAAGCTAAGGTTTGTAAGATCTTTACATATACAGGAGTGCTAAAAGATGCACAACATATATGGTTGTAACATTATTATCGCTGTCGCAGTTAACATCATCGTATAAGTTGGATCCACGTCCCGAATATGCAAGAGCGATTTTGGAATGGAATAACGAAGATCTCCCATTAGCTTATAGCACAGGAAATCAAATAAGTAGTAAGCTACTTAGTTGTAAAGGTGCCAATGCGCTGTTAATGCTTCCAGGGCGAACAGAGAAAAAACGAAAATTAAATGAAGGTGAAATTGTACCAGCGATGTTGATTGGATTTACATAATTTCTGTCATTTATGGCAAGCATGATTATTATTAAGAATTATATATGTTTAGATTTATTGTTACATATTTGGGATGATATATATATAAGATTTATAAAATAAGTCAGGCACAATATACGCAAAGTTTAGGATGCACTATAATATATATGTTTTTGAAGGAACGACGATTTCTTAGAATTTCATTTATTTGGCATTCATTTTTTTTTATAATTGCCATGTTTTTTTAGGCAGTTTTTTAATATTCATTACACTTTGTATACTTTTTCTAAGTAACATAATTATTTAGAGACAATTTAAATTCCGTGTAATGTATTCATATTTTCTGAAGAGAGAGAGAGAGAGAGATTCAAGTAAATTAATTCTTTTAAATTCCAGAGAAATCGGTCGCTTCTCATATTTCATTTCAATTGGCAATATATGATTTCATAATAATCATAAATGTTGTTAGTATGTTATTTACGTTATTTGTTATAATTTCCATTTTATGAGCGCTTATTTAACTTTTCTCTGATCATTGAGAGAACAGGACATCGCGACTTGAAACTTTCAAACTGCCGTAACAGGACACTTTACCTGGCATTCTTGACGTTCCGCGTGACACTAACTTTCGGCGACACTTTATTTAGCAATTTTTCGTAACTTTTTAATTACATCAAACGCGTAATATCCATTTCCGGCACTCCCGACAATAATGCGTGCGTGTGACTTCGACGAGACTAAAGCGTGCGCTGTTAATATTTGAACTCCAACTTGCCATAAACTTTGATGCTTTCCATCCAACACTCTCGATCGTGAGATGTTTGCTCGTGACGTTGTACAACGACATTTCGTTACCACAAACACGCAAAAAATATTTCCGGTAAAAATGCGTTAATTTGGACATCCCTCGGAAACGCAGTCGTTTGAACTCCGACCTACCGGTGAGTGCGCGATACTTAATTCCTCGATCGCGAGACTTTCGAATTTACTTTCGATATTCCCGGCGATAGTGCACAGCCGACATTTCGGTGAAGCAACGACGCAGTTACGAACTACCGCCGTTTTAACTGCCTGAACGTTGCAGCGATTGAGAAGTATAACTAGCGCATTCGAGCCGGCCAATGACAACGACGTATTTACCCACTGACAATCGAGCTATCGAAAATAGAAAATCCGGAGAGATCCTCTAGATGTCGCATAGTAGCAGTTCTACGTCACTCCCGATCGAAATTTGATGATGATTCGTCAAAAGCGAATTTACGCGCGAAGGATGCCGAATGGAGCGAACGGGTGATCGTCTCAGATCGATCCAAATAAGCGCAATTAGTCTCTCGTTTATTTGGTGTCGTCAAAGAATCCGCCGTGGTGAAACGATTACCGACGCCGCGACAGTTCGGTTCAGACGATTCGAATCATGGCTCCGCGTCTTCCTCGCGTCTTTTAACCTGCCGAGAGTACATTACGCGCGCAAACGAGTGCCGGGAGTGCCGTGTGATCGTTCAATCGCGTTAATTGTCCCGTGCGATTAAAAAAACAATATCTTTCCGATAACCAGTGGTCTTCGTCGTCATTTCGGCGACAAAATAGAGGGAACGCGTTCGCTTCTGTTCGACGAGACGCATGACTCATATCACGTTCATCTGTTCGGTAAGTTTGACTGAGTTTTTTCTTTGGGCGCAATGTCGCATCAGCGCGAAATTGCTATTGCACCGGCAAGGTTTTCCATGAAAGACTCCGGGTAAAGTTTCGCGAGTTCGAAAACAAACAGACACAAACTGCTAATGCAAATTATGCTAATGCGCCGAACAAACGTACGTAGTAGATAGCAAAATCGTTTGTTCAGCGAATTTGTACCAACATGATTTCCATTAGAGGATAGTTGTTACACCGAGCGTTTTAGCAAAATTTTAACCCACGAAGAAATACGACAACAACAATAATAATAGCGATCTTTGTAGAGTCGGGGTGAACGCATATCCTAGTTATTTTACAGGGAGAGTCGAGTGGGACGTCAGTACGTTCCAACGACCACCTAGAGGAAACATAGTGAGGATCGTGAACGCGCGTTTACAGAACTAATGCTCGACGAGAACATCGCCTTAATATTGCTCTCGTTGAGTTACCGTCGCGATCGTGGAAGATTATCGCGCATTCGTCCTTGACGTTGACGAAATCATGAATATGATACTGAAATTTCACGGAATTCCAAATTGTACGATCGTAACGATCAAGTCAATTACTTCTGAATTAGCTCAGAGATTTTTCCACACTTTTCTCGAGTTTATCAAATTTTACTCCAGATATTCTCGAACGTAACATAACGCGAATATAAAGGTGCCAAACATCAGCGACATTGATCGCATAGCAACGAGTGATAGTCGGAAATTAAACTGTACACGTTAGATGTGGTGGACGTCGAGATGCGATAATATTTCAGCGAATATAATGTTCGGAATGAGGATAGTATACGAAACGTGTGTTATTAATTTTGTTATTCGTTACGTTATCGTCCGCGATAGAATTGTTTATCCGCGAGATAAAAAGTGATGAAAACGAATAGGATCTAAAATTGACAACGAACACAGGGAGATATAATATATGGCAAAAGATAATATTACTATCGTACACACTCGGTTGATGGGCTTGTGTGTATGCGAGTTATTGAAAAAAGTCGAACGAATCGTGTGCAGCTTTTTATTAGTTATCTCTATTTTTTTCATTTTAAGTAAAAATAGCCGATATATCAACCAGGATTTCAATATTTAATGACACATGCATTTGCTTCTTATTTCGCCTCGATTGTGTATTAATTAAAAATCGTATATGCTTACCACAGGGAATTAAAGAGAACTGATAAAAACGGGTAATATAAGCGTTTAATTTTATAATCAGTATCTCTTCTCGGACTTCCCTTAGTGTTTCACGGTAGAAACCAGCATAACATTTTCCCCGAGAATGTATAATCGAGCGAATTGATGTGTCTGCAGTTCCTCTCAGGGGGATTACTCGATTTCAATGACGATGTCGATTACGGCGGCGCAATAAAATGGTACTTCACTTTAAGGGTTTCATTGCCGCTAGAGTCTCTTAATAATTGCTAGACTCCAATTAAATTCTCCGGGTACCTTCTGTCTCATTAGCATGGTAGGGCGCTTTCTCTCTCCCGGCGCCAGTTAAAATTATTCAAATCCAGAAGTCTCCAAAGAGCATAGGTAATCTTGCGAGCTTGGCCGCGCCGGTAACACGTGCACTTTACGGATAATTGCATACGGGGCTGTTCCCGGGGAAACTCTCGTATATCCTCCACCATCTCTCAAGGCTACCCATATCTGGAACCGATAACAGGATAAGATTCGACATAATATATTTCATTCTTTTTCTTTCCCCTATATCGTTCTATTTGTTAGAATTTAAGCGACAGGGATTTTCTTTCTCGTTCTCTTGACGAGACAATACGACGATAAGAAGTTAGCTTAGAGTTTCTCACTGTTGACATCGCGGTTTAATATAGTTCCTCGCGAGTTTTCGATGATTTACGTCGCGACGTATAATTGCAGTTGACAAGAGGAGAGACATCGCGGAACAAGCTGAAAGATTCGCACGTGCCGTGTAATATCGCTGTGACGTGACGATATATTAACTGTGCGCGTTAATGTCGATATTGGAGCGGCAGACGTCATCGCATCATACGGCTGTCTGTCTGTTAACGACACGTTAGGTAGGAGACGAGCGTATAAAAGATTATGCTAAATACATACGATATTCCGCGCGCGCTACGGTTGGTCCCGAAGTCGTCGAAATTATAATTTATTTGGCGCAATACGTGATTTCACACTGTATAAGCGCGCGAATATCTTTCCCGAATATGTCTCTCCGTAGCACGGTCGATTCGAATCCTCTTTGCAACGCGAAGTACATTCATCCGTGTGTATATACGTATGCATGTATGTCTTCCCCAATGTACTATCTGCATCCTCATTATATACGCATGCACGATCGTGTGAGGGAAGCAATACATACACGCGTACGTGTGCCGATTAATAAAGGTCGCACGTGTGGAGCAAGGTGGGAACATTGGAGATACAAGTAGCGGCTACATCGTGTGCAATTACGATCACGCGCGTATTACGTTCGTACGTACGTAAATTGAACGCGGCTTTTATCGGATCCATTTAACCGCGTATATTCGTACAATTAACGGGACGATATGACTTTCCGCCGGCCCTTATTTCTAATTTCCCCCGGTTAACGGATCGGCACGATACGTCTGCACGATCAGCGGTCGATTTATCACTATCGGATCCGCATTTGGTACGCGCGAAATACGGTCGTCTTAAATTGGAACCGTCGGAGTTGTTTGAAAAGTTCGTGAGCGCGCTTCGTTTGCCCCGTGCTCGAAACTTTATCGAGGTGAGGTGACACCCATCTTTTTCGAATTCTCCCTCTCTCCCTCTTTTCTTTCCCTCTGGTGGCCAATTTGGAGCCGATTTCGCGACGCTGCCTCTCTTGAAAACTGCTCGAGCGGGATTTAGCAGCTGCGCGGATTTTTACCCCCTCTTCCTACGCTTCCCATGGTTCGTTGGGACAAACACAATGGTTTTAATGTCGTTTCACTGCAACTGCACGATATTTTGACGATTAAATGTGATTTAGGTGTTGCGCGCGACCATGTACCCGTTGCTGTAATTTTAAGCCGTTAAGCTGGAAATTTATCGTCGGCTATTATCATAAAAATATATCAACCAAAGAATGATAATCTTAAATCAAGGGGGCAGTTGTTTTAAATTTGTCCAGGCTTGTTTGAGCAGGAGCTGTCGGGATGAATTTCTCAATTGCAGAAATTGTTAAGTGCCTCTACAAATCGCGAACAGTCTCGCGTCGTGACTCTGCGACATCGAAAGGATTAATTTACGTCGATTATTCATTTCTTGCCGTTCAGTTGCACATTAGCGGCCGCCGAGCAGCGAATCGATTTCCATCGGATGTCTTTCGTTTTCCCTCTTAGGAAACTTTTCCCCTTGGCCAAGTCGATTATTCGTCACAATCGTTCCTCCATTTGAATAAATTTCTTATTGCACCTTGTTATATCGTTTTGTACTTAGTACTATCATAAAACAATTTTCGTATTTGAAC